GTTAAGCACCAAAACTCTTGGAGAAAAGAATATAAAACTACAACTCCAGTGACTCCATTTACACCTCCAGATTGCAATTGGCTTGTTGTTGTTATTTTTGTTGTTGTTGTTGTATTGCTGTTGTTGTGTTGCTGCTTTTATTGTTATATTGCTGATATTGTTGGATTGCTGCTGTTGTTGTATTGCTACTATTATTGTTGTATCCGCCCTGAGTCCCTTTGGGGAGATAGAGCAGAATATAAATAAAGATTGTTGTTGTATTGTCGAAGGCTTTCATGGCTGGAATCACTAGGTTCTTGTGGGTTTTTTCAGGCTATAGGGCCATGTTCTAGAGGCATTTCTCCTGACGTTTCGCCTGCATCTATGGCAAGCATCCTCAGAGGTAGTGAGGTCTGTTGGAAATAGGACAATGGGTTTATATCTGTGGAATGGCTGGGGTGGGGCAAAGAGCTCTTCTCTGTTAGAGCTAGGTGTGAATGTTTCAACTGACCACCTTCATTAGCATTTGAAGGCCTGGCAGTGCCTGGGGCAATCTTTTGTTGAGAGATGTCCCAGATTGTTTCCTCTCTGTTGTTTTGCTGTTGTAATTTTAGAGTTTTTTTAATACTGGTAGCCAGATTTTGTTCATTTTCATGGTTTCCTCCTTTCTGTTGAAACTGTCCACATGCTTGTGGATTTCAATGGCTTCTCTGTGTAGTCTGACATGGTGGTTGTGAGAGTGGTCCAGCATTTCTGTGTTCTCAAATAATATGCTGTGTCCAGGTTGGTTCATCAGGTGCTCTGCTATGGCTGACTTCTCTGGTTGAAGTAGTCTGCAGTGCCTTTCATGTTCCTTGATTCGTGCTTGGGCAATGCTGCATTTGGTGGTCCCTATGTAGACTTGTCCACAGCTGCATGGTACGGTAGACTCCTGCAGAAGTGAGAGGATCCCTCTTGTCCTTTGCTGAACGTAGCATTTGTTGGATTTTCTTGGTGGGTTTGTAGATTGTTTGTATGTTGTGTTTCCTCATCAGCTTCCCTATGCGGTCAGTGGTTCCCTTGATGTATGGCAGGAACACTTTTCCTCTGGGTGGATCTTCATCTTGACTCTCGTGGCTTGTTCTCGGTGGTCTTGCCACTCTTCTGATGTCTGAGGTGGAGTCTCCATTGGCCTGGAGAGCCCAGTTGAGGTGGTTCAGTTCATCTTGGAGGAGAAGGTGGGCTTCGCAGATTCTTTTTGCACGGTCTGCCAAGGCTTTAATGGTGCTTCTTTTTTGACTTGGGTGATGGTTGGAGTTTTTATGTAGATATCTATCTGTGTGTGTGGGTTTTCTGTAGACGGTGTGACCCAATTGTTGATCTGGTTTGCGGATGACTAGGATATCTAAGCCTTGGCAGACCGTGCAAAAAGAATCTGCGAACCCCACCTCCTCCAAGATGAACTGAACCACCTCAACTGGGCTCTCCAGGCCAATGGAGACTCCACCTCAGACACCAGAAGAGCTGCAAGACCACCGAGAAAAAGCCATGAGAATAATGGCTTTACATCCAGACTTGAACCCGAGCCTCCAACTAATCTCTCCTGGAGGGCAATGCCAATCTTAGCAACAAAGGGGGTGCATATATATATATATATATATATATATATATATATATATATAGTGTTGCAAAGCCTTCCCTGGCTGCCTGTCTTTCGATCAAGCTGTCCGTACTGCACGAAGCAGAGATTGAGCCTGGATAAAAATAGAAATGTCACTCGCTTCCTTTTTGAAAAATGCCTTCTTCCCAAAATTCATGGGGGAAGCAAGGCTGGTTAGATCGGCAAAGCTCCCAAAGTTACAGATTGAACCTAATTCAAGCATAGTGATAGCGGAGGCCTTCAAGGGGGCGAGAAGAGGGTGGTCCCGGAGTCTGGCCACTATTTCGGGAGTCGGAGCGGGCGGGGCCAAAGGAGGCAACCTCGTGACCCCTCTGAAATGGCTAGGCGACCCCTCGGGTGGTCGCGACCCCCATGTTGAGAACCGCTGATCTAGTCCTAGGCCCCATCTACATTGCATTACATAGACCCATATAGTTGCATTGGACTCTATTGTATGACACTGCACTGACCATATCATGCATTGAACTGCATTATGTGAGTCTCTACGGACCATATTATGCATTGAATTGCATTATGTGAATCCACATTGGCCATATTATGCATTAAACTGCATTATATGAGTCTGCACTGACCATATTATGCATTAAACTGCATTATACGAGTCTGCACTGGCCGCATAATGTAACTAACTGCATTGAAGTGCATTATATGAGTCCATATTGGCCATATTATGCATTAAAGTGCATTATATGAGTCTGCACTGGCCATATAATGCAGTTCACTGCATTGAAGTGCATTATATGAGTCCACATTGGCCATATTATGCATTAAACTACATTATATGAGTCTGATCTGGCCATATAATGCAGTTAACTGCATTGAACTGCATTATATGAGTCTGCACTGGATGTATAATGCAGCCAACTGCATCAAACTGCATTATATGAGTCTGCACTGAGCGTATTATGCATTGAACTGCATTATATGAGTCCGTACTGGCCATATAATGCAGCCAACTGCATCAAACTGCATTACATGAGTCTGAACTGAGCATATTATACATTGAACTGCATTATATGAGTCCGCACTGACCACATAATGCAGTTAACTGCATTGAAGTGCATTATATGAGTTCATATTGGCCATATTATGCATTAAGCTGCATTATATGAGTCTCCACTGGCTATATCATGCATTAAACTGCATTATATAAGTCTGCACTGGCCATATAATGCGGCTAACTGCATTGGATTGCATTATATGGGTTTCTACTGATCATATTATACATTGAACTGCATTATATGAGTCTGCACTGACCACATAATGCAGTTAAGTGCATTGAAGTACATTATATGAGTTCATATTGGCCATATTATGCATTAAAGTACATTATATGAGTCTGCACTGGCTATATCATGCATTAAACTGCATTATATGAGTCTGCACTGACCATTTTATGCATTAAGCTGCATTATATGAGTCTCCACTGGCTATATCATGCATTAAACTGCATTATATGAGTCTGCACTGACCATATTATGCTCCAAACTGCATTATATGAGTCTGCACTGGGCGTATAATGCATCAAACTGCATTATATGGGACCACATTGTGCATTAAACTGCATTGAACTGCATTATATCAATCTGAACTGACCATATCATGCATTGAACTGCATTATATGAGCATGCACTGACCATATTATGCATTAAACTACATTATATGAGTCTGCACTGGGCGTATAATGCATTGAACTGCATTATATGAGTCTGCACTGGGCGTATAATGCAGCCAACTGCATCATATGAATCTGAACTCACCATATTATGCATTGAACTGCATTCTATGAGTCTGTATTGACCATATCATGCTTCAAACTCCATTATATGAGTCTGCACTGACCATATCATGCATTGACCTGTATTGAACGACATTATATGAGTCTCTACTGACCATATTATGCATTAAACTGCATTATATGAGTCCGCATTGGCCAAATTATGCGTTATATGAGTCTCTACTGACCATATTATGCACTGAACTGCATTATATGGGTCCGGAAAGTCACCCATGCGACGGAGTATTTTGAATTTGGGAATTCTGGGCAAGGGATGCCGAAGCAGCGACGACAACATCAATAATAATATATTTTCCGTATCCATGAGGCTGGTGTCTGCAGTTTCATTTATCCACATTGGACAAAATAGGTCCTACCTCGGCATTGTTTTGGTTCTCCGGCACAACTATGGTATTTTTTGGGTCAGAAGTCCTTCCTTTCGACAGGGTTTGCTATTATTCACAGCTTTGTGTATGACAAAAGAAGTATTTTCAAGGGTGTTTCTAAGTCCTCCAATGCTCCTCTTGGGCCAGAAATCTTTCGTTTCAATGGGGTTTCCATGAAATGAATGAAATGCCAAAAACCAAGTTGTAAATAAGTCATTTTATTTATCTTTTCAGAAGCAATTGGGATGAGGAATTGTTGTTGTTGTTGTTGCAAACATGGTCTCCTCTGTCTTTCTTTATCTGCCCTGAGTCCCTTTGGGGAGATCGAGCGGAATATAAATAAAATATTATTATTATTATTATTTTATTATTATTTTACTGACACAAAAGCACAGTATGTCACAGCAAATGAAATCTATATGCTGGATTTCGTATTCAGAAAATCACAAGTCGAACACTTCTCAAGCATGTGTTATTATATTATTATTATTATTATTATTATTATTATTTTACTGACACAAAAGCACAGTACGTCACAGCATACTGAGATCTATATGCTGTATTTCGTATCACAAAATCACAAGTCGAACACTTCCCAAGTGTCAGAAGTCGAACACTTCCCAAGCATCTAGGATTGTGTGATGTATTATTATTATTATTATTATTATTATTATTATTATTTTACTGACACAAAAGCACAGTAYGTCACAGCAWACTGAGATCTMTATGCTGTATTTCGTATCACAAAATCACAAGTCGAACACTTCCCAAGCGTCTAGGACTGTTCGGTTTATTATTATTATTATTATTATTATTATTATTATTATTATTATTATTATTATTATTACTATTTTACTGACACAAAAGCACAGTATGTCACAGCAAATGAGATCTAAATGCTGGATATTGTATCACAAAATCAGAAGTTGAACACTTCCCAAGCATCCAGGACTGTGTGAAGATCTCTATGCTGGATTTCGTATCACAAAATCACAAGTCGAACACTTCCCAAGCGTCTAGGACTGTATGATGTAATTATTATTATTATTATTATTATTATTATTATTATTATTATTATTATTATTATGACACAAAAACACTATGTCACAGCAAACAAGATCTATATGCTGGATTTCGTATCACAAAATCACATTATTATTATTATTATTATTATTATTATTATTATTATTATTTACAGGTCAAAGATGAGAAGAACACGCAAGAAGTCTTCGACCTGAACGACTACGAAAAGTGCGAAGAGCTCAGGAAATCCAAAAGCCGGAGCAAAAAGAACTACAGCAAGTTCTTGCTCAGCCATTCCAAGGAGCCGGGGAACACCGTAAGTTGTTGTTGTTGTTGTTGTTGTTATTATTATTATTATTATTATTATTATTATTATTATTATTATTACCACCATAAGTGTCCTTCGCATGGGCTAATAATACGCGTCTTTGCAGCCACCTTCTAACCAGGTTTCATGACATGTCTGCAAACTAGCTATGGATTGATAGGCTTGCCAAATTAGGATGATGTGGACAACATTTTTATTTACGAGGGTTGAATGAAAAGTAATGCCTCCGCCTTCGTAACTCCTCAACTGATGACAGTACTGATATGCGGGAACTGGCTTGTTCAGTAGACTCTCCTCTATAATTCCATTTTTGCAGGAAGCCTTAGTATTGAATGGTTGTGCTGTTAAAGTGAAATGTAATGCCTCCACCTTCGTAACTTCTCAACCGATGGCACTACTGGTATGCGGCAGGTATTGGCTTATTCAGAAGACTCTCCTCTACAGTTCCATTTGGGCGGGAAGCCTTAGCATTGAAAGGTTGTGTTGTTAAAGTGAAAAGTAATGCCTCCACCTTTGTAACTCCTCAACTGATTGCAGTACTGGTATGCAGCAGGTACTGGCTTGTTCAGTAGACTCTCATCTACAGTTCCATTTGGGCAGGAAGCCTCAGCATTGAACGGTTGTGTTGTTAAAGTGAAAAGTAATGCCTCCGCCTTCGTAACTCCTCAACCAATGGCAGTACTGGTATGCAGCAAGTACTGGCTTGTTCAGTAGACTCTCCTCTACAGTTCCATTTTGGTGGGAAGTCTTAGCATTGAAAGGTTGTGTTGTTAAAGTGCGAAGTGTGGAACCCTACACAGACGGTCAGTTAATGTGACTTAAGCAACGTGCAGTCATTGATTTCTTGACAGCAGAAGGTGTCTACCCAAAGGAGATTCATCGGAGAATGCAAGCTGTTGATGGTGATTGTGTTGATGTGAGGACTGTGCATTGTTGAGTGACTAAGTTTAAAGATGTTGAAGTGGGTACATCTGACAAAGAAAGAGTTGGACGTCCTGTGACAGCAAGCACCGAGTTTCACAAGCAGCATGCTCAGGCTGCATTGTAGACGGCGGTCTGTGGTTTGCTCTTCTCCGCACTCGCATGTCGTGGACTCCACTTTGTGGCCCCATTTCTTAAGGTTGGCTGCATTTCGTTGTGCTAGAGCAGAGTCTGTTCAGTGCCTTCCAAGTCACCTATTTTTGTGTGTGCCCAGGAGGGAGTTTCGCATCTGGCATCAGCAACTTCCGAGTTTTCACCTGCCACTTTTGGTCTCTTGCTTGCTGAGGTGTTCCTACGAGTATCTCTGTAGATCTTAGGAAGCCGTTTCTTGATTTCAGTCACTGGCGTGCTGGCTGATATCCAAACAGAGGATGGGCCAGAGATGTCCATGCCTTGGTTCTTTCATTACTGGCTGCTACTTCCCAACGGATGTCAGATGGAGCAATATGGGCGAAACAGTATAATATCTCCAGTGGTGTAGGGCGTAGACATCCTGTGATAATGTGTCATGTCTCATTAAGAGCCACATCCACTGTTTTAACGTGGTGAGATAAATTCCACATTACGCATGCGTATTCAGCAGAGTGCAAGGGCAGATGCCGTAACTGTGTCTGGTTGTGATCCCCAGGTTGTGCCAATCAGCTTTCGTATGATATTATTTCCAGCGCCCACTTTTTGCTTGATGTTCAGGCAGTGCTTCTTGTAGGTCAGAGAACGGTCCAGAGTGACTCCCAGAGTAACGGTCCCAGGTATTTGGGTGTGCTGCAATGCTCCAGTGGGATTCCTTCCCAGGAAATCCTCAGAGCTCGAAATTCTTGTCTGTTCTTAAGGTGAAAAGCACATGTCTGTGTTTTAGATGGATTAGGAATCAGCTGGTTTTCCCTGTCATAGGCAGTAAGAGCACCTAAAGCTTCTGTTCAACCATTTCAAAGCTCCCTGCTTGGGTGGTAATGACATGATCATCAGCATAGATGAAACTCTCTGTCCCTTCTGGCAATGGCTAGTCATTTCTGTAAATGTTAAACATTAGGAATCAGCTGGTTTTCCTTGTAATAGGGAGTAAGAGCACCTAAAGCTTCAGAGAGCTTCTGTTCAACCATTTCAAATCTCCTTGCTTGAGCGGTGATTGCATAATCGTCAGCATAGATAAAACTCTCTATCCCTTCTGGCAGTGGCTGGTCATCTGTGTCAATGTTAAATGTTAGAAATCAGCCAGTTTTCCCTGTAATAGGCAGTAAGACCACCTAAAGCTTTGGAGAGCTTCTGTTCAACTATTTCAAAGCTCCCTGCTTGGGTGGTGATGGCATGATCGTCAGCATAAATGAAACTCTTTGTCCCTTCTGGCAGTCTCTGGTCATTTGTGTCGATGTTAAACGTTAGAAATCAGCTAGTTTTCCCTGTAATAGGCAGTAATAGCACCTAAAGCTTCAGAGAGCTTCTGTTCAACCATTTCAAAGCTCCCTGCTTGGTCGGTGATGGCATGATCGTTGGCATAGATGAAACTCTCCTTCCCTTCTGGCCATAGCTAGTCAGTTGTGTAGATTTTAAATATGAGTGGAGTCAGCACAGTCCCTTGAGGAAAGCTGTTTTTCTGTTTTCACCATCTTCTTCTCTGACCCTGGAACTCAACAAAAAAGCTCCTGTTTTGTAGCAGATTTCCTGTGAAACAGGTGAGGTGGGAATCCATGAACAACAACATGCCAGCTTCATGCAACTTCCTTCTCATAGAATCATAATAGCATTGGGAGGGACGCCAAGGGACATCTAGTCCAATCCCATTCTGCCTTCAAGCACAATCAAAGCACTCCTGACAGATGACCATCCAGCCTATGTTTCGAAGCCTTCAAAGAAGGAACTCCAAGGCAGGGAGTTCCATTGCTGAACATCTCTCATGGTCAAGAAGTTCTTCCTAATGTTCAGGCGGAATGTCCTTTCCTGTCATTTGAACCCATGACTGCATTGAGTCCAATTCTCTTAGGACAGCCTTTCTAATAGTTTAATATGGTGATCGTTCTCTCTCTCTTAGGCTCCGAACCTTGTCTTCCTGGCCGTGAGTCCGGAGGAAAAAGAGTCCTGGATCAACGCTCTCAACTCCGCCATCACCCGAGCCAAGAACCGGATCTTGGATGAGGTGGGACACATCCTCTCCTTTCTTTGGGTCTGTGCCGAAGGATCCATATCCATTGGAGACCCTTCTTGTTTTGGGGTGCAGTGGGGCTTCTCTATGAGATGGACGCTTAAGAAATGAGCCAAACTGATCCTGGACCTTGGAGGTCTCATCATTTCAATAGTGTCCACACTCCAAATCCCTTACGATCCCATTTCGGTGGTGGCAAATCCACTCCGGGTGCTGATTTGAACGTTGAAGGTGCCACCTCAACAGTTTCAAGGGTAGGTTTATGTTCCTTCAATGTACGAAAGCGAGAATGTCATATGCCTCTGACTTTTTTTTAGTCCTTCTCTAAATGGCGATGGGACCTGATGTATTTCGAGTAGGAATAAAAACAACGACAACAATGGGTCCCAAGGACTAACAACAACAACAACAATGGGTCCCATCTAGATTTCAATCTCCAAACCATTTTAGTCCTTCTAAAATTGTGATGGGACTTGATGCACTTTGAGAAGGAGTAAAAACAATAACAACAATGGGTCCCATCTAGATTTCACTCTCCAAACCATTTGAGTCCTTCTCAAAATGGTGATGGGACCTGATGCATTTTGAGAAGGACTAAAAACAATAATAACAACAATGAGTCCCATCTAGATCTCAATCTCCAAACCATTTGAGTCCTTCACTAAATGGTGATGGAACCTGATGCATTTTGAGAAGAACTAAAAACAACAACAACAATGGGTCCCATCTAGATCTCAATCTCCAAACCATTTTGGTCCTTCTCAAAATGGTGATGGGACCTGATGAACTTGGAGGACTAAAAACAACGACAACAGTGGGTCCCATCTAGATCTCAAATCTCCAAACCATTTTAGTCCTTCTCAAAATGGTGATGGGACCTGATGCATTTTGAGAAGGAGTAAAAACAACTACAAGAGAAACAACAACAAACAAAAACAACATCTGGTCCCATCCAGATCTCAGTCTCCAAATCATTTTAGTCCTTCTCAAAATGGCAATGGGACCTGAATGCACTTCGAGAAGGACTAAAAACAACAACAACAACGGGTCCCATCTAGATCTCAATCCATTTTAGTCCTTCTCTAAATGGTGATGGGACCTGATGCACTTTGAGAAGGGCTAACAACAACAATGGGTCCCATCTAGATCTCAGTCTCCAAACCATTTGAGTCCTTCTCAAAATGGTGATGGGACCTGATGCATTTTGAGAAGGACTAAAAACAGCGACAACAACGGGTCCCATCTAGATCTCAATCTCCAAACCATTTTAGTCCTTCTAAAAATGGCGATGGGACCTGACGCATTTTGAGAAGGACTAAAAGCAACAACAACACCTGGTTCCATTCAGACCTCAGTCTCCAAACCATTTTTGGTCCTTCTCAAAATGGCAACAGGACATGACCCATGTTGAGAAGGACTAAAAACAACAACAACAACAACAACATTTGGGTCCATTCAGATCTCAATCTCCACATAATTTTAGTTCTTCTCAAAATGGTAACGGGACATAACACATTTTGACATTTGCTGATAGTTGGTCATTATGACGGGTCTGTTGGCCATCTTGCTGGAATTGAAAGGAACTTAACTCTATCCTTGAACACTTTGGGTAACATTTCTGGTCACCAATTTGGGATGGATTCCAAGAAAGGTTTAGAAGCACTGCGGGATAGGCGAGTCTGCACTCCACTGAGTGTTTGGGAATAGGATGAGAGGGGCGACAAATAGGGATTCAAATGTTCTTCGTTGCCTTTGAGCTCCTTCCACCAAGATCCTCCAGCTCCTTGTTGTAAGTAAGGAACATGCTGGACAGTTCCTGGAGATGCGGGTGGTTGAACTCCGTCGTGAAAACCAAACCGAGGGAGATCAATTACTCACCGTGAGGCTCCGGTTGCCGTCCGAGGCGTGTTGTGAGGTCCACATTATAACGGTGTGGGCTGTTGTTGTTGTTGTTTCCAGGTTACAGTGGAGGAGGAAAGCTACCTGGCTCACCCGACTCGCGATAGGGCCAAGATCCAGCATTCCCGGCGACCTCCCACCCGGGGCCACTTGATGGCTGTGGTACGTATGTACTTCTCATTTGCTTCTTGGCATCTATCTCAACATACTTCTCATTTCATTTGCTTCTTTTGCTTGAAGGCATCTCTCTCAACATACTTCTCATTTGCTACTTGTGTTTGGAGGCACCTGCCTCAACATGCTTTTCTTTGAATTTGCTTCTTGTGTTTGTAGGCATCTATCTCAGCATACTTCTCATTTGCTTCTCGTGTTTGTAGACATCTTTCTCAACATATCTCTCATTGCATTTGCTTCTTGTGTTTGTAGGCCTCTATCTCAACATACTTTTCATTTGCTTCTTGTGGTTGTAGGCATGTCCCTCAACATACTTCTCATTTGCTTCTTGTAGTTGTAGACATCTATATCAACATAGTTCTCATTTGCTTCTTGTGTTTGTAGGCATCTCCCTCAACATACTTTTCATTTGCTTCTTGTGGTTGTAGGCATCTGTCTCAACATCCCTCTCATTGCATTTGTTTCTGGTGGTTGTAGGCATCTATCTCAACATAGTTCTTATTTGCTTCTTGTGGTTGTAGACGTCTATCTCAACATACTGTACTTCTCATTTGCTTCTTGAGTTTGTAGGCATCTCCCTCAACATAGTTCTCATTAGCTTCTCGTGTTTGTAGGCATCTATCTCAACATACTTTTCAATTGTTTCTCATGTTTGTAGGCATCTATCTCAACATATTTCTCATTGCATTTGCTTCCTATGTTTGTAGGCATCTCCCTCAACATACTTCTCATTTGCTTCTTGTGTTTGTAGGCATCCATCTCAACATACTTCTCATTTCATTTGCTTCTCATGTTTGTAGGCATCTATCTCAACATAATTGCTTCTGGTGTTTGTAGGCATCTCTCTCAAAATACTTCTCATTTGTTTCTTGTGTTTGTAGGCATCCATCTCAACATACTTCTCATTGCATTTGCTTCTTGTGGTTGTAGGCATCTCCCTCAACATAGTTCTCATTTGCTTCTTGTGTTTGTAGGCATCTCTCTCAACATACTTCTCATTTGCCTCTCATGTTTGTAGGCATCTATCTCAACATACTTTTCAATTGCTTCTCGTGTTTGTAGGCATCTCTCTCAACATACTTCTCATTGCGTTTGCTTCTTGTGGTTGGAGACATCTCCCTCAACATACTTCTCATTGTGTTTGCTCCTTCTTGGCCTTTGTAGGCATCTACCTCAACGTCTGATGGCATGCTGACCCTTGACTTGATCCAAGAGGAAGATGCCGCTCCGGAAGACCGCCACACCTGCGAGGAGACCTTCCGGGTGGACCTGGACAAATCCGTCGCCCAACTGACCGCCGGGAGACGCCGTTCGGATTCGGAGAACGTCAAGCCGCCGGAGAAGAGCCGGACAAACAGCCTACCGAGGCGGGAGGTCACGCCGTCGTGGGACAAGTTCTCCTATTGCAAGGACTCCTTTGACAGAGGCATGATGTACACCCCTCAGGTGCCCAAGCGGCTCACCCTCTCCGAGAAGAACAAGTGCGCCTCGATGGAGGAGATCCTGTCTTGCCGGGACTCGTCCTCGGCGCACCGGGCCGTCTTGAGGAGAGGCCTGGAGGACCAGTTCGCCTCGGTGGAGCCCGAGCGGCTGACCCGCATCCAGGAACTCGTCGCCTTGAAACTTGAAAAGACGCAGGAACTTCTGACGGAGGTGAGGGGCTACGGGGAAGGGAAGCGAGCGGAGCCGCCGGTCACCGCGTCGCCGACGTCCGCCGCTTCCTCGCCGGCGTCTTCGTCCAAGTTGGACTCGGGGGCCATGCTGCAGGAGTCGGAGCGGCTACTGGGAGAGGCTTCTTCTCACTGGAGCCAAGCCCAGCAAGTGCTCCAGGAGGTCAAGGAACTGAGGAACCTCTACAAGCAGCTCGAGCTCCAACTCTCGGACCCAAAATCTGCGCAATCGCAATACAGGAAAAGCCTGATGTGAGCGTCCTGTGTGGCTTCTAGGCATGTAGGACAGCGAGGAAGAGGGTTAATAAGGAGTGGGTGTGTATTCTTTTATTTCCCCCCAATTATAATGATTTTACAGTGTTTGATGCATACGAGGTGCCTGTCCTTCCTCCATCCGAGCCTCAGTTTCCCTTCACGTTCACCGTCCCGCTCAACCCTCTTCCTTCCTCTCTAGTATGAAGCCCGTTCCAAGAAATCAGGGTTGTTTTCATTCTTTCTGTTGGAGGTACAGCACAACTTCTGTATCTGCAAGATCCATTTATCCACATCCAACTCAATATATGCTATCGATCCATCCTATACGTCCTCCAGTTCGAATAAATCAGGGTTGCCCCCCCCCCATAATTTCTTATACAGTTAAGTTAGGTGATCCCTCGTTGTCTGAGTAAGATTGTCTTCCGAGATGTCCCGGTTCTCAAACTCTGTTTCATTCGGAAAAATGCTGCACTCGCAGAGTTCAGACGGTGTTGTATTTCAGTGTCAGCTAGAAGCAAATTGGCTCGATTCAATTTGCCTGAAATAAGTACTTACTTACTTACTTAGGCAATCCCTCGTTGTCCGAGTAGGATTGTCTTCCAAGATGTCCCAGTCCTCAAACACTCTCTGCTTCATTCGGAGAAATGCTGCACTCGCAGAGCTCAGACGGTGTTGTATTTAAGTGTCAGCTGGAAGCAAATTGGCTCAATTCAATTTGAAAAAAGTACTTAGTTACTTAGGGGATCCCTTGTTGTCCGTGTAGGATTGTCTTCCAAGATGTCCCGGTCCTCAAACACTCTCTGCTTCATTCAGAAAAATGCTGCACTCGCAGAGCTCAGGCGGTGTTGTATTTAGTGTCAGCAAGAAGCAAATTGGCTCGATTCAATTTGCCTGAAATAAGTACTTACTTACTTAAGCGATCCCTCATTGTCCGAGTAGGATTGTCTTCCAAGATATCCCGGTCCTCAAACACTCTCTGCTTCATTCGGAAAAATGCTGCACTCGCAGAGCTCAGACGGTGTTGTATTTCAGTGTCAGCTAGAAGCAATTGGCTCGATTCGATTTGCCTGAAATAAGTACTTACTTAGGCGATCCTTCGTTGTCCGAGTAGGATTGTCTTCCAAGATATCCCGGTCCTCAAACACTCTCTGCTTCATTTGGAGAAATGCTGCACTCGCAGAGCTCAGACGGTGTTGTATTTAAGTGTCAGCTAGAAGCAAATTGGCTCGATTCAATTTGACTGAAATAAGCACTTACTTACTTAGGTGATCCCTCATTGTCTGAGTAGGATTGTCTTCCAAGAGCGGTGTCCTGGCAGTGGGTCCGTAGGTGACTGTGGGGCCCTATTCGTTGCATCTTCTTCCGCAGTGAGGGCATTGGTTTCCAGGTGGAAGGCAGTCCCGGTCGGGGTTGGCTTGACGCGCCTTCCTCTTGGCACGTTTCTCTCTTTCCCTCTCCATTCGTGCCTCTTCAAATTCTGCAGCACTGCTGGTCACAGCTGACCTCCAGCTGGAGTGCTCAAGGGCCAGGGCTTCCCAGTTCTCAGTGTCTATGCCAGAGTTTTTAAGGTTGGCTTTGAGCCCATCTTTCAATCTCTTTTCCTGTCCTCCAACATTCCGTTTTCCATTCTTGAGTTCGGAGTAGAGCAACTGCTTTGGGAGACGGTGGTCGGGCATCCGGACAACGTGGCTGATCCAGCGGATGATGGCGGAGGACCATCGCTTCAATGCTGGTGGTCTTTGCTTCTTCCAGCACGCTGACCTTTGTCCGCTTGTCTTCCCAAGAGATTTGCAGGATTTTTCAGAGGCAGCGCTGATGGAATCGTTCCAGGAGTTGCATGTGACATCTGTAGACAGTCCACGTCTCACAGGTGTATAGCAGGGTTGGGAGGACAATGGCTTTATAAACAAGCCCCTTGGTCTCTCTGTGGATGTCCCGGTCCTCAAGCCCTCTCTGCTTCATTTGGAAGAATGCTGCACTCGCAGAGCTCAGGTGGTGTTGCATTTCAGTGTCAATGTTGATGTCTGTAGACAGTCCACGTCTCGCAGGAATATAGCAGGGTTGGGAGGACAATAGCTTTATAAACAAGCCCCTTGGTCTCCCTATGGATGTCCTGGTCCTCAAACACTCTCTGCTTCATTCGGAGGAATGCTGCACTCGCAGAGCTCAGGCAGCGTTGTATTTCAGTTTCAATGTTGACTCCTGTATCGAACCTACAATTAAATGATTAGCATTTAATGGCCTAGCCGTTTCAAGGTCTGGCTTCTTCATTCTCCAGGGGGATCCTTTGTTGGGAGGTGATTAGCTGGCCCTGATTGTTTCTTGTCTGGAATTCTCCTAGTTTCCGACAGAGCTCACAACCTATAGAAGCAGGCGAAATGTCAGGAAAGAATGCTTCAGAAACACATCCAGAAAGCATGGAAAACTCACAACAATCAGGTGATTCTGGCCATGAAAGGCTTTGATGGGATCCAATATCAGTTTCTCGTTGGCTTTTTTTGCAGCCTCAACATCCCTGGAGGTTCGGACTGCATTCCGGACTTGGTTGCCAACTCATTGCCCATCTCCCTCTCTGGATTTGATCTTCTCCTCCCTCTATGCCACTCCATCGCTGGCCTTCTTCCATCCGAGCAGCCGTTTCCCGGCCTCTCGATGCCATCTTGGACGCACTCCAGTTCTCCAGTTCCACAATCGCAGCCGTTGCATCCTTCAGCTCTGCGGAGGAAATATTTGAATTTCCACCAACAAGGTCATTGCAGCAAAAGGCTCTTTCTCTCTCTCTCTCTCTTGACCAAACCGATCGACATCAGGCTCTGGCGTCACACATTATTGTCACGAATCAGGGACATTGATTTCCGTCTCCAAAAGCCCCAATTTGGCAAAAACAACCTCATTTAATCCTCTGCTGTCACACTTCTTCAGCCGCTCTCTCAATCTTCTCTCTCTCTTCCTCCTGCCTTTGTCCTCAGCTGCTGCAAACTGAGTTCAAAGTGCAAGCGTTGTCTGCTAGTCTCCGTTAACTCGAAAGGAAAGAGAAGGTGGAGTTTTGGCCCTTCCAGGTTCCCAGGTGTCTCAGGCAAAAGCAAACTGCGGCAGCATCTCTTTGCTTGTTTATTCTTTCTCAAGAGGAAATGTTTGCTGTCTAGGTCATGCTTCCATGTTGTTTGTGCCATTTGGTGTGCAAGCTAGGGCAGCAGTGGAGCTAAGCTCAAGGTGGTCACATTTTCCCTCTTCCTCTCTTTCTCTCTTCCTCCCTCCCTCCCTTTCTTTCTTCCTTCCTTCCTTCCTTCCTTCCTTCCTTCCTTCCTTCCTTCCTTCCTTCCTCCTTTCTTCCTTCCGTTTCTTCCTCCTCCTCCTCTTCCTTTCCTTCCTTCCTTCCTTCCTTCCTTCCTTCCTTCCTTCTTTCCTTCCTTCTTTCTATCCTTTCTTCTTTTCTTCCTTCCTTCCTTCTTTCCATCTTTCTTTCCTTTCTTCCATCTTTCCTTCTTCTTCCTTCCTTCCTTTTTTCCTTCCTTCCTTCCTTCTTTCCTTCCTTCCTCTTTCTTCCTCCTTCCTTCTTCCTTTTCTTCCTTCCTTCTCCTTCTTCCTTCTCTTCTTTCCTTCTCTTCCTTCCCTCCTTCCTTCCTCCCTCCCTTCTTTTCTTCTTTCCTTCCTTCTTCTTCCTTCTTCCTCCTTTTCCTTTCCTTCCTTCCCTCCCTCCTCCCTTCCTTCTTTCTCTTTCCTCCTTCTTTTCTCCTTCCTTCCTTCCTTCCTTCCTCCTTCCTTCCTTCCTTCCTTTTCTTTCCTTCTTTCCTTCCTTCCTTCCTTCCTCTTTCCTTCCTTCCTCCTTTCCTCCCTCCTTTCCTCCCTCCTTTCCTTCCTTCCTTCCTTCCTTCCTTCCTCTTTCCTTCCTTCCTTCCTTCCTTCCTTCCTCCTTTTCTTCTTTCTTTCTTTCTGTCTCCTCCTCCTCTTCTTCCTCCTCCTTTCTGGTTTTTCATTCATTGATAACAAACAAACCCCAGCCTTTGTGTCCAGAATCACAAAATCTTCAACATTCAAGGGCTATCTCGTTTCATCTCTTGCACCCCATTGACTCGGCAGAGAAGGAGGCCAAATTTGCCCTTCCCAGTAAAGCTCAGGCAAAAGCAAACTGCTGCAGCTTCTTCTAGCAAGACTGTTCTTCCTCCTTTGCACCATCTGATATCTTGGTTATTGGTATCATTATCATCATCATTATTTTTATTCTTAGATACACAACAAGATGAGTCCACAGCAAACAAGATCACTCTGCTGGCTTTTGTATTCGATCCCACGTTGGACACTTCCTAAGTGTCTAGGACTGTGTAATGTATCGGTGAATAATGCGTGCAGATCCGAGTCGGGTGGCCTTTTGCAGCTGACAGATGATAATTTTGTCAGCACCGATTGTTTTTAAGTGCAGGCCAAGGTCTTGAGGCACTGCACCCATAGTTCCAATCACCACAGGGACCCAGGCTTGTACCAGAATCTTTGCAGTTCGATCTTTAAATCCTCATATCGTGTCAGCTTTCCCAATTGTTTTTAAGTGCAGTCCAAGGTCTTTAGGCACTGCACCCAGTGTGCCGCTCACCACTGGGACCACCTTGACTGGCTTGTGCCAGAGTCTTTGCAGTTCGATCTTTAAATCCTCATATTGTGTCAGCTTTTCCAATTGTTTTTAAGTGCAGTCCAAGGTCTTGAGGCACTGCACCCAGTGTGCCGCTCACCACTGGGACCCCCTTGACTGGCTTGTGCCAGAGTTTTTGCAGTTCGATCTTTAAATCCTCGTATCGTGTCATCTTTTCCAGTTGTTTCTCAATCCTGCTGTCACCTGGGATTGCGACATCGACAACCCATGTTTTGTTTTGTAACACAATTGTGAGGTTAGGTGTCCAAAACTCTGTCTGTCTGAATTTGAAAGTCCCAGAGTAGTTTGACGTGTAACTTTTCCTGGCTTGTGATCCCACCAGTTCTTTGTCGCTGGCAGATGGTATTTGTGGCACAAGTTCCAATGGATCATCTGAGCAACAGTGTTGTGCCTCTGTTTGTAGTCTGTCCGTGATCTTCTTGCAGCAGCTCAGGATATTATTATTATTATTATTATTATT